TTATAGACTCTAGTTCCATCCAGGTTGCTGTGAAATTCATGATTTTGTTCTTTTTTACGGCTGCGTAGTATTCCATCGTGTATATGGACCACATTTTTTAATCCAGTCCTCTTTTGATGGGCAGCATGGTTGCTTCCAGGTTCTTGCTATTGTGAACAACGCTGTGTTTTCATGCACACCACGGTCATGTTGGGTTTTCACCGCAATCCTGTGAGATGAGTGACTCCCATCACTTCTCTGGTTCAGGAGAGTGGTCTGTCCACAGGGAAGCATCCCGGTCTTCACCTTGGCCTTCTCAATGACCATCCATGCTGCGAGTGGTGTAGTTAAGGTTGCCTTCCAAGGACAGTGGCCTTCTGCCGTAGCAGCCATGGTCTGTGGCTGGTTCCACCCTGCCCTTCTGTCCTAGTCTGACCCAGCTGGGGTGGCTCTGTGGCCGGGGACAGCCCACCCGTGTCCACTGTGAGAAGTAGAGGCTGTATCTAGAGCCCCAGAGACACGGGTGTTCCCTCTTGGGTTCTGCCCCTCTCTTTCAGCTCGAAGTCTGTCACCTGCGCCATGAGGACCTGGTGGCTTTTGCTCGCCATTGGGATCTGCGCAGTGGCCATAAACTCGCAGGACACGTGCCGGCAAGGGCACTCTGGCATCCCTGGAAACCCTGGTCACAATGGCCTGCCAGGAAGAGATGGACGAGATGGAGCCAAGGGGGACAAGGGAGATGCAGGTACTCACCCCTGGTGGCTACGGCAGCTCTCCACGGTCCCATCATTCCTCTGATCTCACTCATTCATTCATCTGTCTAGTTCCCCACCTCTCTGCCCACGCACCTGCCAACACCTCTTAAGGACCTACCTCCTGCCAGGGTCTGCTCAGCGCTGGGCTGGGGTGCAGGACAAGGGCGACAGGACCCTGCCCGTGGGCTTTCTCACTGTGAGCATAAGTCTGACGCCACCAGGCGTTTTTGGTATTCTGTGATGTCACAGGTCTTCCCGCCTCACGACAGGTATGATGGGTCATTGGTGCCATGAGGCCAATGGGGGGATGTGGCTGCCCCTTCTTTGGCTGTGACACTCAGCTACAGACTAGGCGAGGGTCAGCACCTCACCGTGCTCTAAGGCAGGTCACACAGAGTGACAAACACAAAAGACGGCCACCTACAGCCATGCGGCTGCCACTCAGTATCTATGATCTAAGTTGGGACCTGCCCCAGGGTTGGGGATCTGGGGACGGGACCCGGCCTTGACTGTGAGGTCCCACACTTAAGACGGAAGCAGAGTGAGCCATCCGGGTGCAGAAAGGAAATGTTTACGCTTCTGAGGACGTGGTTGGAGATAACCTGGTGTTTCTTTCTTTCTTTTTTTTTTTTTTTGTTTTGAGTCAGAGTCTCACTCTGTTGCCCAGGCTGGAGTGCAGGGACACGCTCCCAGCTACCGCAGCCTCGACTTGCTTAACTCAGGCAATTCTTCTGCCTCAGCCTCTCAAGTAGCTGGGACCACAGGCATACGCCACCACATCCGGTTAATTTTTTGATTTGTTGTAGAGACGTGGTCTCGTCAAGTTGCCCAGGCTGGTGTCTAATCCGTAGGCTCAGGCAATCCTCTCGCCTCTGCCTCCCAAAGTGCGGGGATTACAGGCATGAGCCACCACGCCCAGTTTGCTGTAAAAAATTATATACATACAAAAAGAGAGAGAGGATAGACACAGAATAAAGAGAACTAAGACAAACACTCATAGATCTGGCGACAGATTTATCTGGCTGTGCCCTGCTGAATACCCTCCCTTCTCCATGTTATCCGTTTCACATTATTTATCTATTTATTTATGTTTTGAGTCAAGGTCTCACTCTGTGGCTCAGGCTGGAGTGCTGTGATGTGATCCCGGCTCACTGAAGCCTCAACCTCCTGGACTCAAGTGATCCTCCCATCTCAGCCTCCCGAGTAGCTGGGACTACAGGCACATGCCACTATACCTGGCTTTTTTGGGTAGAGACGAGGTCTTGCTATGTTGTCTGGGCTGGTCCCGAACTCCTGGGCTCAAGCAATCCTCCTGCCTCAGCCTCCCAAAGTGCTGGGATCACAGGCTTGAGCCACTACACCTAGCCATCAAGTTTTACATATACCTAAAAGCATACGTTTTATAAATACATGTTCTCTGTATGTAGTTCATACATGTTACATATCACATATTATCTCTTCCAAGGATGTCCAACCACATTGCTCATGCTATAAATTCCCTTTGTCTTCATCTGATTCTCTTGAAGTGTATTTGTACGTTTCATAACACACGCGATTTTCTCATGTTACCTGCGCATCCTTTGGAAACACAGGTGTGCATTGGTTTGGGTCTGTGTCACGCTTTCCGACTTGGGGTTGGTGTCCTGAAGGCCTGCAGGACACTCTAGAGGGTGGAGGAGAGGGGACCCAAGCAGGGTCACCAGAAGGAAGCCTGTCCTCCAGGAGTGACCAGAGGGGGCCAAGAGTGAGGACGAGGGCTCTCAGTGCAGGGATGACGCCCCCCTGAGGTCCCACACCGCCCCCCAGAACCCTCTCGGGAGCATGGGTGTCACGACAGGGACAAGTCTGCCTGGGTCAGTCCTGTCGGGGGACTGTGAGCTGCCACCCCCGCCAGTCAGCACAGCTCAAGGTCAGGGTCCCTGCTGGGTGCCCCATGGCCTGGCGCCCTCCTCCTGCCCGTGAGACCCTCGAATCCGGGCTTGGGGCGGCAGCACCAGCACTCGGTGTGGCTGGCAGGCATCTCTCACCGCGGCTCCCGGGGGTCGCCTCTGCTCCCTAACCCATGGCTTGTGCCACCACTCCGTGGCGCTGGAGAGACCCTTCTGGAACCCCCCTCCATCCCAGCCTGTGTTGCACGGCCAGGCCTCCGTGTGTACCTGGGAGGCCAATGAGCCTCCATGCCCCCCTTTGTGAGAGTGATGGGGAGGGGCAGGGGAGAAGCCCCCCCTTACGCCTCCGATGCCTGGGTGTCCTCCCAGGTCCAAGTCACGGGCGAGAAACGGCCTGCATGGTCGTCCGTGTCCCCAGCCCCAGCGTCCTGCCCTGCTGTCTTGGTGCCCGGGGAGTGACCCGTGGCCTTTGATGACTCGTGGACCCACGTGGCCCCGGGTGCCCCTTGTGCCCACCCACACTGAGTGGGGGTGGGCCCCAGGGCGGGGTCGACCCGTCCATCCCCTCGACGTGTGATGCTGACGGAGACCAGGGCCAGCGGGGTGGGAGTCAGAGTTCAGTCCCTGCCTGCTTTCTTCTTGTTCACACAGGAGACCCAGGACGTCCCGGAAGCCCAGGGAGGGACGGAACCAGTGGACAGAAGGGAGACCGAGGTCAGAGGCCAGTTCCTGCTCCCCGGGTTCTTCTGAGCCACCCGGGGTTTGGCTGTGCTGAGGGCAAGGCCTTGAGGAGCCGCCGAGACGCTTCCTGCGGAGGGGACCCAACCCTGACTTCCCAGAGGCTCGCGACTAGTGCAGGATTGGCAAGCCCATCCTGTAAAGGGGATAGTGATCCTTCCAACTTTGTGACCACCCCTCACCTCTGACATAAGTTGGGGCTTGCTCTCTTGCCCAGGTTGGAGTCCTATAGTGTGATCATAGCTCACTGCAGCCTCGAACTCCTGGCCTTAAGTGATCCTCCCACCGCAGCCTTCCAAGTGGCTGGAACTACAGGTGTGTGCCTCCACACCCGGCTAATTTTTTGATTTATTGTAAAGACGAGGTCTTGCCAAGTTGCCCAGGCTGTTCTTGAACCCATGGGCTCAGGCAATCCTCTCATCTCCGCCTCCCAAAGTGCTGGGATAACAGGCGTTAGCCGTCACGCCTGGCTAATTTTTTAATTTATTGTAGAGGCGAGGTCTTGCCAGGTTGCCCGGGCTGGTCTCCAACCCCTGGGCTCAGGCAATCCTCTGGCCTCTGCCTCCCAAAGTGCTGGGATTACAGGCACAAGCCACCACGCCTGGCCTACGCGTGACCGTTTAAACACACAAACCACTCTTAACTCGGGGGCTGTGTAGCAGGTGGAGCCAGGGATGGCCATGGCCGTGGCTTGCTGAGCCCTGCGTTGGGAGTTGAGCATGAAGGGCAACACTGAATTTAGACTCAGGTGTCGGCGAGGTGGCATGGAGGAGGTGACGCTCGGGTCGGGCCAGAAGGACAGGGAAGACTCTGGCAGCTGGAGGGGCGGGGAGATGGTCGTCACTTGCGGACACGCGTTGTCATCATCTTGTGCCTTTTCGTGCATTTGCGCTTTTCCCATGTCAACTCACGTAACACACTGACCCCCCAGGCTAGGTGGTGTTATTGTCCCCATTCCACAGACACGGAAACGGAGGCCAGAGGCTCACTTGCTTGCCTGATGCCCTGTGTGCACCAGTCGGGGACAGGATGGAGACTGGCCTCCACTCCAGACTCCACGCTCACAGCCCGCTCTGCAGGCTGGGCGGAGGTGACAGGGGAGCAGCCAGGGCTCTGTAGAAAGAGGAATCGACTGGGCAAGGTGGCTCAGCCTGTAATCCCAGCACTTTGGGAGGCCGAGGCGAGAGGATTGCCTGAGCCTGGAAGTTTGACACCAGCCTGAACAACTTGGTGAGACCTCGTCTCTACAGTAAATCCCAAAATTAGCTGGGCAAGGTGGCACATGCCTGTGGTTCCAGCTACTCGGAAGGCTGAGATGGAAGGATTCTCTGAGCCCAGCAGGTCGAGGCTGCGGTGGCCGGGAGCATGCTACTGCACTCCAGCCTGGGGGACAAGAGTGAGACTCCAAATAAAAAAAAAAAAAAAAAAAAGAAAGAGGAATCACGTGCTCTAACCTGGAGGGTGGGCAGGCCGGGTGGGAGAGCAGTGAGCGCCATCCTGAAGCCTTACTGTACCCTCACTCCAGTGAGGAGGCTTTCAGTGGGTGCCACATAACCTGGGCCGGGTGTCGGCTGGTCTTCCCCGCTCTGAAGAGTGTTTCACTCAAGGTTGGTGTGACTTAGAGGCCCACGTGGCAGCCCAGGTGGTAAAGAGCTGTCATTTCTAACGGGAGCCCTGACACTCATTTCATGAGACGAGTCAAAATGTGTTCTGGGGTGCGTGTGTGTAATTTGGGAACAAATGAGTTTCAGACTCTGAGCTTATACTGAACCTGTCTGCTACTTTAATTTGTATGCTCAGTAATAGAAAAAAACATGCACCTATAATCCTAGCACTTTGGGAGACCAGTAAGGGAGGATCACTTGAGATGAGGAGTTCGAGACCAGCCTGGACAACATAACAAGATCCTGTCTTTCACACACACACACACACACACACACACACACACACACACCCCTAAAAACAATTAGCCAGGTGTGGTGATACCTGTAGTTCCAGTTACTAGGGGGGGCTGAGGTGGGAGAATCGCTTGACCCCAGGAGTTGGAGGCTGCGGTGGTGAGCTGTGATCGTGCCACTGCACTCTGGCCTGAGGATAGAGTGAGGCTGATAATGGTAATAATAGAAAAACCTAGCCAGGCACAGTGGCTCACCCCTGTCATCCCAGCACTTTGGGAGGCGGAGGCGAGAGGATTGACTGAGCCCAGGGTTTCGAGACCAGCCAGGCAACTTGGAGAGGTCTCGTCTCTACAATAAATCAAAAAATTAGCGGGGCCTGGAGGCGTGTGCCTAGTTCCAGCTACTTGGGAGGCTGAGGCAGAAGGATCGCCTGAACCCAGCAGGTCGAGGCTGCAGTGGCCAGGAGAGTGAGACTCCGACTCAAAAACAAAAAAGAAAAACCAGAGTTGTTCACAGGGCACGTTTCACCAACCCTCTCTTCTTCTCTCCTTCTCTATCTAGGAGCAGATGGAAACGTGGAATCAAAGGGCATCAAGGGTGACCCAGGCTCGAGAGGGTCCCCTGGGAAGCATGGTCCCAAGGGACTGGTCGGACCCATGGGAGAGAAAGGTCTTCAGGGAGAGCCTGGCCCTCAGGGGCCCAAGGGGGACAAAGGGGACGTGGGCCTCACGGGTCCTCAGGGCCTCCGGGGCCACACTGGGCTTCAGGGTCCCGTGGGGGTTCCTGGCCCCGAGGGCCCCCCTGGAAAGCCTGGTCCCAAGGGAGAAGCAGGACCCGTGGGGCCCCAGGGAGAGCCCGGAGTCCGGGGAATACGAGGCTGGAAAGGAGACCGGGGCGAGAAGGGGAAAGTCGGGGAGACGCCGATGCTGCCCAAGAGCGCGTTCACGGTGGGCCTCACAGTGCTGAGCAAATTCCCCCCGTCCGATGCCCCCATCAAGTTCGACAAGATCCTGTACAACGAGTTCAGCCACTACGACGTGGCCACGGGCAAGTTCACCTGCCACGTGGCCGGGGTGTACTTCTTCACGTACCACATCACCGTGTTCTCCAGGAACATCCAGGTGTCCCTGGTCAGAAACGGGGTGAAAGTCCTGCACACCAAGGATGGCTACATGAGCTCCGAGGACCAGGCCGCGGGGGGCGTGGTGCTCAAGCTCAGGCTGGGGGACGAAGTGTGGCTGCAGGTGGCAGGTGGCGAGCGGTTCAATGGCCTGTTCGCCGACGAGGATGATGACACCACGTTCACTGGCTTCCTCCTGTTCGGTAGCTCATGATGGTGTGGAGTGTGTGCGTCCCCATGGCAGTCGCCGGATGTGTGTGGGAGGACGCCCCAGAGGGTGGCACCATGTTCACACCTCTAGTCACTGCCATGAGCGGAAAAGGAGACACAGGAGAGCCATTCCTAAAATGGGTTCTTTCTTTCTCTTTTTGTTTTGAGTCAGAGCCCCACTTTGTTGCCCAGGCTGGAGTGCAGTAGCATGCTCATGGTCACTGCAGCCTCAACCTGCTGGGCTCAGGGGATCCTTCCGCCTCAGCCTTCCAAGTAGCTGGAACCACAGGCGTGCACCACCACACCTGGTTAATTTTTTATTTATTGTGGAGATGAGGTCTCGTCAAGTTGTTTAGGCTGATCGCGAACCTGTGGGTTCAGGCAATTCTCTCACCTCAGCCTCCCAAAGTGCTGGGATTACAGGCATGTGCGACCACGCCCGACCATTTTTTTTTTTTGAGTTGGAGTCTCACTCTTGTCGCCCAG